TTATTTATATGAATATAAGATATTTAATCTGACGCTTAATGGGGGACAAAGTCCCCTGCATATCGCAACTTCTAGTTGCTATATATAATACTGAAGCAAATTTCTTATTAAATCATCAAATATGCGAAGAAGGTTTATTACAAATGATTAAATACATAAACGGTCTTACGGAACATAGTAAATCATATGATCCGTAAAGTGATTTGAATTTCAAATGTGTATTTTCTGCGCTATCCTACGCCTGATCCTTTATTACTGTAATTAAATTTTAATATAGAATTAATATATAAAAAAATGTTAATAAATATATCATATCGATAAAATACGGAATACCATCCAACAATGTCATAATTGCGGCGCAATCAATATTATTTAACAAACAATTACAACAATTAAGCTTATTTGCAAGATTATTTTCAACCTACTACACGTAATACTATCCCAAAACTCTTTACTCAAACCTCTCAAAAAAGTTCCAAAAAACTTAAGCTTTCATACAACAGCCCTCCTCCTCCTCCTAGCGACAGAAACTTTCTCGTTCGGCGTCTAAGTTCAGCCAACAAGATCTTGATGCACTGCAAGTGAGATATGAACCTGTCGAAGAGTTCGAAGTTATACCTAATGTCAAAGGTAAAAAATTACATTATACATTATGTGAACAATCTTCTTACCATATCAAATAATTTAAATATTATATATTGTTTAGTCACCATTCTGGAACAATATGTTCGATGACACGTCAAAACGTTTGTGGATAAACTGCATGATGTGATGTTGTCTGTAGATCTACAGCTGATACTTTTGATACTTTAGTAAATGATCTACTAATTCACGTTATCAACTTGGATTCTTGGCCATTTAAAGTTAGGTAGGTAGTTTATCCACGAAAGGTATAGAGGTATTTATGTTTGATGCATTAAAATTCTAAATTATTATTTATTCAAACAGTTTTTTAAACAGGATAAACACCTGCATAGTACCCCTTGAACGGATTTGGAGAATGCCAGATCGCTGCCGTAATACTGGCTTGCGGATTTGAAAATCATAAAGATAAAAATTATGTTTATCAAGAAATTTTTGCCTTCCGTGTAATTTCCACCTATGTAACTTTCTATCGAACTCAAATTCCCATACCATATTGGTATGAACTTGCAAAGCTGCCAAAAAAAATTCAATCGTAATCAAAAGGTGGCCTAAGGAAAATGGTAAAGATACTGGTCTCGACCTTACTGAACCAGAGGAAAGAAAAGCTGTGATAACGAATCTTATCAAGATTCGACATCTTTTGAAGTAAAAGATTTTATTTAGCAGTGTTTTATTTTACGCATTTTTTCAATCAACAAAATTATTATAATAATCTGATCTAGTACTTTTTTTTTTTTTTACATTTTCTAAAAGAAATGAACATTATTCATTTCGAAATTTTTTTCTTTTTCTGTTTTTGAATTTGTGCGCGTCGATTATAATTTTTGAAAAAAAAAATGGATAAAAATCATTTTCATATTTTGTATACCCATCCATAATCGTACCACTTCATTTATGTTGTTTAATCAGTTTGAATCAATTTTTTCGTGCTTTAGTAATTTTTTTTTTCCTCAAAATATACACGAAGTCTTGAATTAAAGATTACATACGAATGGGGTTAAAAATTATAAAAATATTGCTATTCATATTTTAATCAGCCTCATATTAATCATACCAAAGATATCAAACGTGATAATCAGGCTGATAATTTGGAATGGGTAACTAAAGAGAGTTGTTCAGATTTGGAATTCTATTCGCCTTGTCAGTAATGCACTCAAAATTTCAAAATCTTGCGTTTTAGAATATTGTAGTGGAATCAAAAAACTTCTGGTGGCTGGCGTTAGATGTATTATGAAGATTTCATAGAACCCACGAAAATTTAGAGGTTCATCTCTCGTTAACAAATGGTGAAATCACCCGTTACTGGAATTAACTAGTAGGAGTAGTATGTCATATGATAAACATCAATTACATTCGAAATTCTGATTGTTAAAAATGGTAAAAGAATGTTTTTTATTATTGCACAAAAATTGGAAATACATGACGAATTCACAAACAATACACTTTACATAGTAAAAAAGTTACATATTGATGTTTTAGTAACCATAACTTTTTTCAATCTTATCGAACTAGGTAAAGAATGAGATCTTCCAGCGATGTTGTACAAGAATAAAGGTATTTGTATTACAAGTGCCACGTGAAATTGTCATGTCATGATCACAATAAAAAAAGGGATAGATTATTTCTTGTAAACCTCTGGACATCAATAACTTCAATATGAATTGAGTCCTACCAGAGCTTCTTAAGTCTTTGCAAGTATATGGGAGACAGTCAGTAGAAAAATTTATATTATTGGACCACTTTCAAAAGGTATCCGTTACTTTTGTTCACCAGAGGAGAGCGGACTTTCGTTCTTAGATGAAAGACATGAAGATCCGCTGGGTACATTTTTAGATAACCTATCACCTTGACAGGAAATGATAATGAAGATATTAGCACACCCACAAGGATTGAATTTAAAGCTCAAAGCAAAAAGTAGAAAATAGAGAATACGAAAAAAAGTGGAGATCGACGAGGAACAAACAGCATTTTGGACAGACAATCAAACAACAAAACAAAACAAAAGTTAGAAATATTCACGACTCATCACAAATTACACCACATGGGGACGTTTCCAGTAAAATCACATTACGGATCATATGATTTACTATATCTCATGACTTGATTTTACTGGAAACATTCCCATATAATTTTAGTAAAAACAAGACCTGATTTCGCGATTTGTAAGAGGAATGCTAATTTTGATTGTTGTACCGTTCGAAAGAATTTGGGGAAACGTCAAGTTGCTGCAGAGATAATGGCGCGTGGTGATTATGGGTTGCAGAGATAATTGCGCGTGGTTGATAAATATATGCGTAATATTTCACGTCATGGTGAGCTATTTGTGTCGTCCTCATATTTTACGTTTATAAAGCTGAAATCTCCAAAAAATATTGGAACGAACTTGGATACCTTGGACACTATATATATAGGGGTACTGTACAGAACGCTTTACGAAAGTTATTTAAATGGATATAGTTATATATTTTAGGATAAAATCACAGATTATTTTATATACAAGTATTTAAGAACTAAAATAAATACTTTTTATATAAATCAATTTATTATTTTAACTAATATTATTAATAATTTAGTAATTTTTATTATTATTAAAGAAATTATAATATCAAAAATCTAATAATTAAGATATATACTTTAGATACTTTAGACCAAATTAAAATATGAATTTTTGACAATTATGAAAATTGTGATTATTAAAGTTCTAATAAACTTTTGTTAATATCTTCACAAACAGAATTATGCGTTTTCAAAGTCATAAAGGCAACTTGCTGTGCAACATCAATAATCTCATCAATCTTTGATTCACCATGCATTATTAATCCAGATATTAAAGTTCCAACAACACTTCAAAAAAAAAAAAAAAAGAATTAAATTTTTATTATTTATTTTTTTTGAAAAAAAAAAAGACATTCTAGTTACCTATCACCAGCTCCCGTAACATTCACTATTTCACTTTTATCAATTTTTTTAGGCATAAAATGTCTAAACCTATTTATTATAAAAAAATATCAAAAAATATAATTAATAATAATTTAACAAATTGAATTTAATCGTACCGTAATCCGCTGTTTTCATTTTTCCGTTTTATAATTATTTCATTCTTTTCATAATTTATAATACTTTCATCAGTTCCTTTTATATTATAGTTATCGATACTTAAATCTTTTAAAGAATGAGCATACAAAATACCATTTGCGCCTAATTTTACTATAATATTGGGTATAAAAGGTAAGAAATTTGTAACATGTATAAACAATCCATCATTTATTAAAGTTCTTATTGCATCGTTATGTTTAAATAAACTTTCGAAATCTAAATAGATATTTATATATATATATATATATTGTTAAATAAATAAATAATTAATAAAAAAACATTTTCGGTATAAAATTGTGATCAAAATTAAAATAAAATAAACTAAAAAGAAAGAGAGCAAAAAATCATATCACCTTTTTCAAATTTTGGATCAAGTCCATATTCATCAATTTCCTTAAATTCAACCCTTTCAAATAAACCTTCTTGATGTGCTTTAAAATGCATTGCTTTTAATTCAAAAACATTTGGTGACATATATTTTAATGATTGTGAAGATAGTAATGAAATAAATTGTTCATGATCTTTAAATAATTTTAAAGATTTTGGAATTGATGTTGTTTCAAAGAATGCTTTTAAAAGGGATTCAAGTTAATGTATTGAATAAATGACAAAAAAAAAATTGTTCAATTAATAAATAACCTACTTGGTATGTTATATGTATGACAGGTACTTAAAATACTATAAATACATTCTACAGAAATGTTTCCATCAAAGCAAACTAGCTTTGGTTGCAACATTCCAATTATCTGACAAACCTACAAAATATCTATTAATTAAAGAAAAATTGTATATAATTTATAATTAAAAAATATTTCTATTTTTATTTCCATACCTTATCAGATGATAATTTATCAAATATTCTCATATCAGCGACAGCACAAATTAAATTCCCGTCAGGATCATGAATTGCATTATATACAGCAGTTGATTCATTTTTGATTATTTGTAATCCATCGGTTTTCATTCCAATTCGTTTAAATCTAATCTTCAACAAATTTCCATTTGTATCATTTCCAATTGTTGATATAAACAATGGATTCGCTCCAAGTCTAAATGATGTTTCCGCTATGTTTCTTCCTACTCCTCCAATAGTTTGTCTTATTACACCAGGTGATGATGTATTTAAGTATGAAGAATCAAGAGGATCCAATGTTGATGTAATATCAACCGCCGCTCCACCGATTATCAGTAACTAAAATATAAATTAAAAAAAAATTTGAAATATATTAAATATTTATCATTATAATAAAATCAACCATTGGGTAGAGATATAAATTTGACATCAATTTATTTATTAATCTTTGCTATGCTTTTTGATACTTTTTTTCACTACATGATAATAATAATAACCACATCCTTAATCTATCAACTCATTTATACTGTCCACAACGACTCAACTCATATGAATAAGAATTATCTTCATGTTACTGACAAATCGAATAATTTTCTAAATTTCAGTTGACTATATCGTTGAAAGTCATTAAAGAATTCCCACAAGCATGATGTTCGATCACTTACAAATAAAATTTCACATGAATGCGAATTGAAGAATCTAATTTGTCCGGTCACCTAATGGAAACCTACCCCTTTATTTAAGTTTGACAAATCTTGATCCCTTTGATATTTTGAAAAGGAAGGCATTGATACATTTTTTTTTGGTATACTATTTGAGTTCGGATTAGAACCAAAGCTTGCCAAACATTTAGCAATTCGACTTCCGATTTTTGCATTATGCTTAATTAATGCAATATCTATAAAAAGAACAGGATTGATTAATAAATGATTCATATTAATTAATAATCTCAACTTATATTCATACTTGATTTCAAGGAGCCTCCTTGTGTAATCTCATTAACCCTCTTAAGCAAAAACGGTGTCACATCCTTCCCTCGGATGTCTCTAAGTAATAAATATAAATACATTAAATATCAGAATATTACAAATAATAATAAAAATATTCGTGAAACAAATTATAAAAAAACTATTAATACTTTGCTTCGAATAAAGCAATATCTATTGCTTTCTGTATTTTATCAGCATCAAAAGCTTCATTTTCAGGTATTGGAACTGCTATAAGCAATCCACTATCTAATCGAAGTTGCGTATTTGCATCTTAAAATAAAGGAAAGAAATGATTTATCTTTAGTCAAATAAATGGTACTTAAAAGTGAGTAGTAAATTTAAACATACTGATCAGAGCAGCACATTCTTCAATGGTTTTCAAATTTGAAGGACTCTGATAATAAAATATAAGAATAAATTGCTTAATATTCAACAGGAATTATCATTTATATCATTATAAATGATATTACCTTAAATCCACTATTTCGGGTAAAAAAGGCTGGGAAATCTGTTGTTTCTCCGAATGTTGTCACCGTGACACCTTGGGTTTCCTTACCATCCAAGAATTAGATACAAATTTGATAATTGCCTAGATATGGTTAAAGTATCACAGAGTTAAATTTCTCACCAGATATTCTAAAGTTTTCCCAATATCCAAAATTGATTTGACTCCCGCACACACAACAGCTACGGGAGATTTTCCCAATTCGACCAAATCAGCACTAATATCCATTGCTATTTGCGGAATCATAAAGAATAAGTAAAAATGAAACAAAATAAGACTACATAATAATGATATTACAACTTACATTCTTCTGCTCCACGATGAACTCCTCCAATACCACCAGTAACAAATACTTTAATTCCTGCTTGATGAGCTATAACTATAGTTCCAGAAACTGTTGTACCTCCTGTCAATCCCTAATTTTTTTAAAAAAAGTCCATTGTCACCTAAACTGATCTAACACGTATATCGACAATTTGAATCAATCCACAATTCTTACTTGTGAAACGACATATGCAAGATCTCGACGAGAACATTTTCTTGCTTGTTGACCTATTCGCGCAAGTGTCTCTAATCCACTTGATGATAAACCTATAAATAAAGATAATTTATTTAAATCACTACATAATTCATATTACAATGTATCAAATACTTACCTACATTGATTTTTCCATTTAAAATAGCTATAGTCGCAGGCACACTGCCATTTTCCCTAACAATATTTTCAACCGCTATAGCCGTTTCCAAATTCTGAGGATATGGCATACCTTTGAAATAACCTAGATATTAATTTTTTTTTTTTAAAAAAAAAATATATATATTATTTATTTATTTTACCATGACATATTATACTAGACTCTAAAGCCACAACTGGTCTAGCTTCTTGTAAAGCTTCAGAAACTTCAAGACTATAATTCCAAACTTTATTATCTAGTAAGGTTGATTTTGGTTTTGAGAAAACATTATTATATCTTTTAAAATTTGAAGAGGAATGATATGGTTTATACGAAAACTTTGTATCAAATAAGATAAAGGTTTATTTATATAAGAAAACTTTATTAATGTAAAATCATTGCTTGAAAGATTACTTTATTAATTACCAAAGGACTTATTCTATTTGTTGACTTTTTGAAAGTACAGGAAATGCTTGTACGAATGTATAATGTTGCCATCTAAAAAAGAAAATGAATTATAACCTAAAATGGAATATGACCTTGCTATAAAAAAAAACAAGAAATTTAAGGTCACGAGCGAAATATCACTTATGTTTCGTTTGCAGTTTCATAAAAGGAAGAAAGGTGCAAAGTAATTTATGAACTCGTTTCACTTCAATTACTCTAACTAAATTAGAATAGCCCGAAATGAAAATGAAAATGAATATATGTATTAAAATAAGTTGGCGCAACACGATTGGATTCGAAAGGTAAAAATGTAAAAGAATGGCATTTAAGCGCAAGGTAGGTAGTATAATTTTTTTGATGAAAATTAAATTCTAGCGAATGTTTTTGCAAGTTTGGTACCTGATATATCTAAAGTTTTGATCCTCGATCGTTAAAGAACTTGTAAGGTTCACCATGTAACACCAAATTTTCGTGATGTTGTCATACCGTAAGTAAATAATGCTTAAATTAAAAAATATGACTAATCAATACATATTAAATAAATTAAATCAATTATTTCATATAAAAAAGGTCTCAAATCTACCTCCATGCCATGTATCAAAAAAAAAATAATAAACAATAACAAATTATTAGATTATAATTATTAAAAAAAAATGTCAACTGAAAGCGAAACAACCGAAAATCTCAATCAGGTTGATAGACCAATTTGGTATGAACCATTATTGGATCGTGGTTTAATTCCAGATTTTATACTTCGAAGAGCAATTAAAGTCTTATTAAAGGAAAGATTAAGTTGGATTCAGTTAGGAGATGTAGCAAAGAATCATCAAAGAAAATTAGCTTATGTTAATTCATTGAAAGAAAGGCCAATTGCCGAGCATACCGAACAGGCTAATAAACAACATTATGAGGCAAGTTAAATTATTTGTGCACGTGATATGCGCAATTGATTATTAAAAAAATTTCACCTTTATTTATAGGTTTCCACAGAGTTTATGAAGATGTGTTTGGGAAAAAGAATGAAATATTCTTGTTGCCTTTTTCCAAATGGTGAGCTTAATTCAACCTTTGTATTCTTTGCCGAACGAATGAATTTGAAATTAACCTAAAATCCTTTTAGGAAATGAAAGTTTGGATGCGGCAGAAGAAGCCATGCTTGAATCCTATTGCATCAAAGCTAAAGTGTCGGAAGGAATGGAAATCCTTGATTTAGGTTGTGGTTGGGGAAGTTTGTGTTTGTATTTATGTGAGGTATGACATGAAGTAAATCAATTGTAAACGAATTATGAATATGTTTTTTTTTTCTAATTTTTGTCTTTTTAGAAATATCCAAATGCGAAAATCACGGCATTGTCCAATTCAAACACCCAAAGACAATACATCGAGTCAATTGCGCAACAGAAGGGATTTAAAAATCTCAGAGTCATCACTGCGGACATCAAAGAATTTGAATTTGATTCTTCAACTCAGTAAGCATTTTCATACGCGACCATAAACCCTTTCCTTTTGTATTCCCTCACCTTTTTTACTTTGATAGATTTGATCGAATTATGTCGATTGAAATGTTTGAACATATGAAAAATTATGAATTTTTATTTACCAAAATTTCAAAATGGATTAAACCAAAAGGATTGTTGTTTATTCACATATTTTGTCACACCGATCAACCATACGATTTTTCAGTTGGTGATGGTTGGATGTCAAAATATTTTTTCACGGGCGGAACCATGCCTTCCGCTGACTTGTTACTTTATTTTCAACGTCAACTACATTTAGTTGATCAATGGATTATTAATGGTAATCATTATGGGCAAACTTCCGAAGAATGGTTAAAATTAATTGATAAAAATAAAAAGGTTGCTTTGGGCTATCTTGCTGAAACTTATGGTAAGTTTTAATCAAGGATTTTTTATTTTTCTTTAAAAAAAACAATAATAATATTAACATTTCTTTTAAAAAAATAAAAATAAAAATAAAATAAAAACAAAAGGAAAAGACAACGCTATTTATTGGTATAATAGATGGAGAACATTTTATATTGCCGTTGCTGAATTGTTTAAATATAATAATGGAAACACCTGGTGTGTTGTTCATTATTTATTTGAAAAAGAATAAGCTTTTTAAACTTAATTTTCGTAAAATTACGCTTGAAATGTAAGCTATAAATAAATTGTTGTTATTTGGCTACGCAATTATTGAATTATTTGAAAAAGAAGCTTTTCACTTCCATTCCGTGACAACCCTCAAAAGTGATATTTTTGTGACGATTTTCAACCAAATTCAGATTTGATTTGAACATTTGAACAATAAACATGGCAAATCATGCGAAACATAAATTTTCAAACAAAGACTATTTGAAATACAATGAAATTTTTTTTTTGAAAAAAAATAAAATAAAAATTTGCTCGTCACCTTTGTTATTGTAAAAAAAGGAATTTTTTATTTCAACAGATGTGATAAATCAATCTTGAATGATAAGATTATCATGTATTAGCATCTTATATTGTGAACACAAAAAGTTATGAAACGGATGTATGCGGATGGATCTCGTGCTCTTATTCATTCTGAACTGTAAATTTGTTGGACTTTTATTTATTTAATCAATTATTGAACTTGTTTCACGTGATCCTACGCCAATCAAGAGTCATGGGGGTGATCAACAAAGAAACTTTTGACTTAATAATGTACTTAATTTTCTCTCTTGGCTATGATAACAATATTGAGAATAAAATCGAACAATCGAATTGGACTTATAAATTATTTACAAGTCCGATGGTCGAATAAGATCATTTAGTCCAATTGATCAAAATAGCGTATGTAATGTAAAACGATTTCTTCATTCTCACGCCACGCAAATTAGGGAATGCATGTCATGTATAAAATACCATTTAAAAAATAATTTTAAAATTTCAAGAAAACAATTTGAGATGTTGAATATATACTCCAATTCATTTATGTATCATGCGTTTTTTAAAAAAATCCGATGAAATTATCTCGCGTGTTTAAAGACGAAATCATTTTTATATATATATATATATATCGTGATACAAGTTGATTATTCACTCATATAACATTGATCATATGGTGATTTACCTAAGAATTACGCGTAATTCTTTTCGTGTTGTTAATAAACTTTGGCCGAATTTTCCTCGGATTATCTTTAATTATCATTTCCCGATATAGAAAATTTAAGAATAGATTAGAGTTTTTTTTATTTTAAAATTAACCATGAGAATTAAACTTGTATATCATTTATAAGGTCTTTGCGCAATATATATTTTAGAATTAATATCCAAGAACCCTTGACTTTATATACATTCCTGCATAATCTCAATAATTGAATTTAAACAAAAAAGAATGAGTTTCCTTTTAACTTTTTGATTATTGTTTGTGCGTTGCATAGTACATTACATTTTGCTTGTTTGTAATTCTATTGTCCCCCCGCGTGCTTAAAAACAATTTACAATCTATTTTTTTTTTCCATTTAAAAAAAAAAAAACTGTATTAAAGTTTTTAAATTCAAAATATTTTTTTATTTTTTATTTTGTTAATTCCGTGACACATGAAAAAACTCGAGGCGTATAAAAAAAAAAATCCCGCCATAATAAGTGTCATTTTCTGCATGTCGAAGCATGTCGGATGCAATTCTCTGCGAATGATGTGAAATGTGACCATGGAATATAATTATATAATTGTTTTATTGTTTTATACTTCTAGGAAATATGATAAAAATTATTTTATTTATCATATTTTTTTATATTTATCAATTGAACAGCCACACAATCAAGTTATTTTTTTTTATTTGCATAATATAGATAAAGAAATATATTAATCGCATGTTGATCGCACCCTTGTATTTCAACAATAAATAAAACTGTTGTGATAAGTACTTGCTAAGTTATAAAAAGGGCAAGATATCCCCTCAATAGTCAATTAAAAAAATTTTCGACTTTTAAGTCACAAGTTTTTAAATTTCTTCATTTTTTTTTCCATTGATTTGTTTTTACATTTTTCATTTTATCTTATTTTATTTTATTTTATTTTTAATTTTTTTCTTTCATTGTCCTCTTTTTTGACACGATCACTATTTAATCACATCCATCACATCTTAAAAGAACATGTCTAACAAGTTCGAATACTATGGACATGTTGAAAATTTAACAGGTGCTGATGTTATAATTCAGGCAGGAGAACATTATAATTTCAAAAAATTTTTGGCTCATTCTGAGGTATTAAAAGACAAATCGCCATATTTTCGTGTTGCCTTATCATCGACTTGGGCCAAAAGAGAAGACGAAAAGATCATTTTAAAGAAACCAAATGTTTCACCAACAATTTTTTGTATCATATTAGAGTGAGTGTCATTTTTCTAATTATTGATGTCTCTAAATCGAAAGTTTTTTTTTTTTTGAAAAAAAAATTTTTTTTTTCATTAAATTAAATATATATATTTTTTAATTTCATAGATATTTTTATACGGGTAATTTACCTTTGGATCAACATGATGGTTTAACAATAATTGATCTGTTGATAGCATCCGATGAACTTTTAATCGTACATGATTTACTTGGTCACATCCAAGATCATTTGATCAACGTAAAAACCGAATGGTTAAAGGAGAATTTTTCAACAGTTTTACATGTAGTATTTGAAAGAGAAGCATGTAAAGATTTACAAAATTATTGTATGGATAAGATATGTTGGAATCCGAAAATAATTTTTGATAGTGTAGATTTCTTAGAATTTGAGGAGTACATACTTGTAGCATTATTAAAACATGATAATTTACAAATTGAAGAGATAGAATTATGGGATTACTTAATTAAATGGGGTATATCTCAACTACGACAACAAAAAGAATATTTAATAGAAGATTTAAAAGTAGATTTAGATGAAAATTCACCTCCTTTAAATGATATCAACGATTTATCGAATTGGGATAAAAGAGATTTACAAGATTTAGGAGAAATATTAAAAGATTGTATTCCATTAATTAGATTTTCTGAATTTTCCATAGGGGAATTTTATGATAAAATTTGGCCTTTAAAAGATATTTTACCTTCCGAATTAAAACAAGACATTTCTTTATTTCAAAAAAATCTTGAAATTTTTCCCAAATCAATTTTATCCCCAAGGAAACCCATAATCTCAATTAATTCAGTTATTATTAAACCAAAGCAAGCCTCCAAAATTCCTGATTGGATTGATCAAGTACAATTGAATTCACAAATTAATTCGGTTAGGGTCAGATATGAATTTAAATTATTACTAAGGGGGAGTAGGGATGGATTCACCCCGAATGTATTTCATGAAAAATGTGATCATAAAGGTCCAAACGTTGTCGTATTAAAAATTCGTGGATCGGGACAAATTATCGGTGGGTATAATCCTATCGGTTGGAGAAGTTTAAAAACAAAACGTTGGCAGTACACAAAAGATAGTTTTTTATTTTCTTTTGGTAATAATGGAAATCCAGAAGAGTCGAAATTAAGTCGAGTCATCCCTGGATCAGAGGCCATCTACGATGATCCTTCGTTTGGTCCTTGTTTTGGTAAAACTGATTTAGATATGAGGAGACAATTCAATGAAGAAAATTGTTCTGCTAAAAAAAGGTGTTATAAACATACAATTACAAATACTTCAAAATTTGCCGTGGATGATTATGAAGTATTTCAGGTTTTATGTCATACTGTAAGTATCGGTAATAGATTGCTGTGGAATTTAAAGTGATACTTGATAAAGAACAAGGCACGTTTAATTTATCTTTTTTTTGTAGCCTCTTAAAAATCTGAATAATTTATGTTCTGTTTAAAAAAAATTCGAAAAAGGTATTTTATTAACATTCATTTTAATTTCAAAAAAAATCTGTTTAGTCACCGAAGAGTGATTTACTACTAGCCGGAATTCCAAACCAATCGCCAAACGAGTCAGGAATTCCGCAGCAACATGATACGGAGTTTGTAAATCAACAACATACAAATCATTCATAGAAAAAAAAACTTTTATGTATTTATATTTCAACTAATTATTATTTCTAACTATTCTATTATGCATTTATAATAATATATATATTAGCATTTCATTTTGTACCAATATTTTGTACCAATAAGTTTTTATTATTATTATTTTTTTTTTTTTCGTATATTAGGTAGGAATTTCATAAAAAAAAGATAAAATAAAAAAAATAAAAAGAGAAAAAAAATTTTTTTTCAAAAATTGAGCATAGAGAAATTAGAATTTAGACAAACTTGTACTGTACACCACCACCCCATAATAATTTTTCTTTTCTAAATAAAATAAAAATAAAAAAATATATATATTTAAAATTGGAATTTTAATTTCCACAAAAAAAAAAAGATTTTTTTTCGATACGTTCAAAAAATCAAGCATCTGACGCGTAGTATCACCAACGTCTTTTGTGTAAATTATCGGGATTTTTCGTAAATTTTTATGCAAACATTGATGTCAGGGGCTTTGCTTCTTCAACCTTTCCTTTCCACCAAATAACGTTTTTAGATAAGAATGGGGTACTTTGATATTAAAGTTCACGTTAAAATCAAACATCATTTGTTGTTATGTTTGCAACAGATGTGTTTTCTTACGCCATTTTACTAATTTTTTTTTTGTCAAGCAAATTCATTTAATTTGAATTTTAACAGGTCCATTTCTTTTAAATAAATAATAAAAAAAATAACTAATGACAAACAAAATAAAAAAAAAACAGTCACCCTTTTTTTTAAAAAAAAAACCTAAGATATTCGGTCTAAAGAAAGATAAAATCGTCCATTTTACTTTCTAAGAAATGTGATGTGCTTAAGTAATCCAGAATAAGTGTTCTGAGAAAGTTCTGAGAATAATATGTCAACAAACAGTCTCGATGACAGGATTTCATTTTCATTTCAAAGAATTTGTTAATAAAGATTGTAGTACTCTTTAACAGTTTTTTTTCTCATCATGATTCCGTCAAAAGTCTTCAAATTTCGAAGCGGTAATAACATGGATTTTATATTTTGTTGCAACATTCTACGATGGAACAAAATTTGATTCGCTCTAATTTAAAGATCTATATTCATTAGCATCAACTCAATAGACAATAACCCATGGAATCTAGTGAAACACGAAACAGAATTATGACCAATTCACGCGTTTAGAATGCAGCGTAAGAGAATTCACATTATCACTGCTCCAATTACATGTAACATGATTCTAGTAGGACTATTTATTGGAAAAATTTATGGAATTTCAGTACAAGAATTCGACAGAAGGTTATAAAAAAAAAAATAATAAGGATCCAATGCATGTTTCGCAAAGCAGGTTGAAATGATAGAATCCCTTATTTTTAAGAAACTGCGCCGTATAAATTGGAATAAAGCTGCGCCATAACAAATTATCATTACTTACGATATTAATTTAGATTAATTATTATAAGCTGATGTAACGTTATTCAAATTATACTGATATTTATGAGTGGAGAAAACAATTTGTATATACGGTAGTCCACTTTAAATCATTCCTGATGTTCTCTTTATAAATGATTCCATTTTAATAATAACATATATTTTATTAATTATAAAAAGCACAAAATTAATCAGGATCTTTCACAATTCACCAAATCTGGCTAGAATAATGGACAAAAACATTTCTTTAAACCTAAAAAAATTTTTTTCTTTTTTGGATCTCCACCTTTTCTTCATAGACTAAAAACAAAATGTCCTCGAAATCTATACACAACCCAAAAACGACAGAATATGAGTTTTTGGGACCAATTGGAGCTTTCTTAATGATGACAGTACTTCCGGTCTTAGTAAATTTATTACATCTAGGTTGTCAACCTGAAGGGTGTCCAACTGTTTCATTGATTGAACAACTCTTGAATCCACAACAACTCGTGCAATTTTTTTCCAAAGAAAATATCGTTTCTTTATTTGATTTACAAGCTTCTATAGCTTTTATGGGATATCTGAGTTACCTTCTTCTTGCATGGTATCTCATTCCTGGAAGATGGATTGAAGGAACTCAACTTCGAAATGGAAGAAAGTTGAAATATAAAGAAAATGGATTTCGTAGCATGTTATTAACACTATTTATAATTGGATGTACTATATTAATTAAAGGACATGAACCTTTATTATTTATTTTTGATCATTTTATTGGATTAATGTCATGTTCAATTATCGTTTCCTTCTTGGTTTCTCTTTATGTTTACTTGGTTTCCTTTCAAGAAGGAAAATTATTAGCCCTTGGAGGGAATTCCGGAAACATAATTTATGATGTAAGTATGGACTTTACATATATATATCTATCAATTCAAAGAGTTAAATCTTAACTTGTTTGTATGATAAAGTTTATGATAGGAAGGGAACTGAATCCCCGAATAGGTTCTTTTGATATAAAATATTTTGTAGAATTAAGACCCGGGATAACCGGATGGATAATCATTAATATTGCAATGGCGGCAAAACAATATCACGAACTTGGATATGTTACATTGGGAATGATTTTGGTATTAATCTTTCAAGGATGGTATTGCATTGATTCGGTATATAATGAAGTAAGTTTTAAACCAAAGATTCACCAACATATTTTTAAAAATTAAATTGTCTAAAGTAATATTTTAGCCAGCAGTTTTGACCACAATGGATATAACAACGGATGGATTCGGATGGATGTTATCATTTGGCAACATTACTTGGGTAGCATTTCTTTATCCTTTGCAAGCAAGATATTTAGCTTTGAGGCCAAAACATCTTTCTTGGATGGAAATTGTCATTATTGTATCTCTTCAAGCTATTGGTTACGGTATTTTTAGAGGCGCTAATAATGAAAAGAATGCGTTTAGAAATAATGCAAATGATCCAAAACTGAAATGTTAGTATAAATGAATAAAGGGATAAATTTATATTATTAAACAATTTAATTAATATTAAAACATAATAACGTTATTATAGATTTAGAATATATAACAACCGAATCTGGATCAAAATTAATCATCTCAAGTTGGTGGGGTAAAGCAAGGCATATTAATTATTTAGGTTTGTTCATGTGATGAATACAGTAAATGATAAGATTAAACATTTCAAGTATGAATTATTAAATATTTCCTATTTATAAATATAATAGGTGATTGGATAATGGCATGGGCTTGGTGCTTGCCTTGTGGTAAGTTATTAATGAATAAAATTGAATCAAATTTTATAACAAACTTTTTAAATTTTTTTAATGAAATTCTTGCAGGATTTGATGATATATTTCCATATTTTTATGTAATTTATTTTGCGGTATTACTTGTTCATAGAGAGTTAAGAGATGAAGAAAAATGTAAAAAGAAATATAAAAAAGATTGGGATAGATATTGTGATATTGTTAGATTTAAAATCATACCTGGTAAGTAATTTTTTTCTTTTTCATATAATTTGTTTATAAATTACTAACATATTTTATATATATAGGTATTTATTAATGAAGCAAAAATTATTATTAAAAGAAATATTTCAATAAAAGATTTTATTAACCAATAATAAATAAATTAAATATACAGTACATGTATAGTTATAATATACTATAGTCAAACCTATATGTAACGATATTATATATATTGATAATTGTATGTATTGATAAATTTTTTATGTACCATTTTATTATTAATTAATAAACCTTTATATATTGATATTACATATGATTTCACAATGTAATATATACCGATATTTTTCTTTGTTTCTTTATAATTAATAAATAGTAAGATTTACCAATATTTTAGGTTACACCAGTATAAATCTATACTTAACATGGCTTTATTTGCATAAGAATCATGTTTCAACTACAGATTAAAAGAAATTCAACAAAGTAAAGAGTTGTTTTAACATACACAAAAGAAAGACAACTCTTATTAAAGAAATAAAAATAATAATATTAATAATAATAAAAAAATATAATTATAATAAAGATAAGAATAAAATAATAATAACAACATTTGTATATTTATATATTATGCAACTATAGTCACAATCACGATCACGAATGCGAACATGATCTCAATTACGATCATGAACTTATGTGATATTTTGTATGCAATTACATGTTTATAACATTTTTAAAATCAAAACAAAAAGAACGTGTATGCAAAATAAAAGAAAAAACCTATATAATAAAGCAGAGTCCATAAGGGTAATGGTCAGGGATGTAATGGTAAAATATAAGTATTTTTTTGCGCATATTTCATAAAATTCAAAGATATTTTTGTCTTTAATAAAACTAATTCAAATTTTATTCAATTGCTATATTTAAATATTTGGGGGCTGATCTAAGAAAATCAAGGTTCAACATTAATAATTTGTTTTAAATAAAAAGGTGATTAAATATTTGTTTTAAAAATTGAGAAGCGAAAAATTGCTGCTATTTTTATATATGTCGATCTTGATCATATGATATAAATTTGATTATAAAAATTGCATGCAGGTTTGATCTAAGAAAATAACCTTTTGGAGTATTATTACACAAATATTATAATTGCATCATTGAAAAAATTAAAAATTAAAATAAATTAATATATAAATAAATAACTAAATTTATAATAATTATATTCTTTGAATGCGTATTATTTAAATAGTTAAGTATTACTAAATTTATTATATTGAGTTATACACTAATAATCTTTTGAAATGAAATGTGAAAATTTATTTAAATAGTTAAATAATTACGAAATAGTTTAATAGACGTTTATTAAATATTATACAGCATATACAGTTACTATAATAGAGTTCAGCTTTTAAAAATTTATATACTATACTGTATATATATACTTATTAATTAAATGTATGTGAAAACTTTAATTTTCATGTGACAATAAAATTAAACTTTTTTTTTAAAAAAATAAAAAAAAGAACATATTGAACATATTTTTTATATTAAAAAATTTTTTGATTTAAATATATAACTGTTTTTTTTATTAGATGCTTTTAAAAAAAAAATACTTTCTTTATTAAAAAAAATAATTCTTATTTGTAAAAAAGACAATCCATCCTACTCTATTTAAACTTTCTTTTAAAAAATAAAACAAACTGTCTTTTAATTTTTTAAGAAATAAAATAAGCTGTATCTTTATAAGAATAAGAAATTTTTTTTTAAAAAAACAAAATAAAATATATAACCTGTCTTCCTTATTTTTCTTTAAGAAAATTTTTAATTAAAATTAATTCGTTTTTTACCTTTTTTAAAAATTTTTATTTTTTAAGAATAAGACGTTACCTTTTTAAAAAATTTCTATTTTTTAAAAATAAGACTTTCTATTTAAAATAATTCACACTTTTTTTTTTACTTTTATCAATTTTTACTTTTTTTTTAAAAAAAAGATAATCATTTGTTTAACTTCTTTCTTTAATTTTCTAAGAAACCATTATTTTTATTTTTTAAGAAATAAAAGAAATAAGATAATCCAATCCGCCTTTTTTTTAAAAAAAAAGACTTTACATTTTTATAAAATATTATACCTCTTTTATCCTACCTTTTCTTTTTTATTAAAAAAAACAATGAATTCAAATCAAAACTAAAATATAACTTAACTGAATTAGAATTAGAAAATTATGAGAAAAATGAATTAGTTCTTGATACAATCCATGATTATGAACTAATTGGAATTATTGAGATAAATTATCTGGTCAGTTTCAGAAAGCTTTTTTAAGTGGAAGATTATTTGGACAAACATCAGTATTCATAATTATCTGTTTAAGAGACATCGCATTGGTCAAAATCAAAAATAGTGATGATTGATTTACAAAAATTCTACAACCTATATATTAATGAATTTTGATGTTAATTCAGTATATTTAGCAAGCAAATCCCAATTGTCATTTTATACTTATCTTATATATACAATTTTTATTAACCTTAAAAAATAAAAAATATATTTTAATAATAGGATACTTGCTTACTTCTCGAGCCCATAGAAAAAGCTACCAAATACTTATCTGCCTCATCTTATTTAACTTTAGGAGATGTTTGATTTATCTTCGATGAAATTCTAAAGCGTTTGCAAAAATACAATGAAAATGAAGATTTTACTCAATGTGAAATGGCAGCCTCGATTTATAGAAAACTTGAGGAATATTGGAATATAATAAATAGTTCATCTGTTACTTCTGCTATTTTAGATTCTCAAAACAAACTTTCAGTTTTCCCTAGAGAATCAATATAAGATGCTTGCATAAATATTCAAGCTGTTTTTGATATATATTAAGAACAAATTCCCAGTATGACAACAATATTGCTTGCATTAAACTGTCAATACTACCTGTCAATATTTTGCACAACTCTGACAACAAAATGAAACCTCCCAAATAACAAGTACTTCAACTGCATCTGAATTAAACTGCTATCTTGCACTACTAATAGATAAAGAAATAAATCCACTTTTATGGTGACAAACGTATACGAAGAAATATTTTGTTTTAAGTTTAATGGCGTGAGACTACCTTATAATCCAAGCAACCAGTATTGTATCAGAGCAAGCATTCTCAGTTACCAGGAACACAATCACTAAAACACAAATCATTTGCTACTAGAAACAGCAAGGGCAATTTTGTGTACAAAGAGTTGGATATTGAATAAGATAGATGAATCTTAGCAAAATATTTTAATAACAAGTCTATATTAATATGCAATAAAAATCATATAATAAATAATAAAGAGTAAATTGGATTTAAATTATAGTCCTTTGGAAACTTTCAGTCAGTTTTTAAAATATTTGTTTCATCAATATGTTTTTGCCTCTCTTTCTGTTTGTAGAAAAAAATGTTAAAATAAATATTATACAGTACAGATACGCAGTTACTGTGGAATTATAAAAAAACTAGTTCAAGAATATGGTTCAAACTGACCAGTTTACAGAACTGGTTATAATTGAACCAATTCAAATCAGTTATTTAGAACAGGTTTACAGAACCCAGTTTGGTTTGATTTAAATATTAGAACCCAAGTTCATTGAACTAAAACTGAATCAAACCTAACTGCCTATCCCTAGAAATAGGAAAGTTATATATGTTGTATTCAGAAGGAATCCAGATATTAGCCTATTTAGTGTTCTATTGGAAATCCTCAATTAAAGTAGATGTTGAATAGTTGTCAAATACTTGGGTTTCAAAACAAAATTCCAGTTTGAAACAGTTGGAATAGACTGGGTTGGATAGGACTATTTTTTGCAATAATTTGAACCAACGTAAAGTAACACCATTGAAATTAGCTAAAGAGAAAGATTAGAGCTAGATATCATGATAATTAGGATTTCGCAATTCGATTTGATATTTGAATATTTGATTTGATTTGATTAAATTCAAATCAAAGAATGATTTATTTGATCAAATCCAAATTAATGTTTGATTCGATTCGATCAAATTCAAATCAAGTATTCAAATATTTGATTTGATTTGAATCAATAGTAAAGCTATCTTCAAAGCTTCAGGAGTATCGCTTATTAAGAAAACCATAATAAAGTGTTTCCGCAGCTTCAGAAATGCCTTTTTTACTAAAAAACCATAGTAAAAAGCGCCTCTGTGGCTTTAGAAATGCCTTTTTTACTAAGAAAATATAGTAAAAAAACGCCTTCACAGCTTTGAAGACATTATTTTACTTAGTAAACATAGTAAAAAACGCTTCTGCAGCTTTAGAGATGCTATTTTACTAAGAAAACATAGTAAAAACGCCTCTGTGACTTCAGAAACATTTTTATACTAATAAAATTGTTACGAAGCTGAGTTGGTAATTATTACTAAGTTTTCTTAGTAAAACTAAAGCTGCGATAGCGGTTATTACTAAGTTTTCTTAGTAAAACCAAAACTGCAGAGTTATTTACTAAGTTTAATAGTAAAAATTTACCTGTTATTAAACTTATTTTATAAAAGCTATATTTGAAATTTTTTAGTGCAATTACTAATAATTTTCTTAATTAAAACTTTATAATAATTTTATTTTAATATATTATTGTAAAAATTAAAAAAAAATTTATATTCAATTTGATTCGATTGATTCGATTCAATTTTGAGGAACTCTAACAATTACACTAATCTGAATTAAAAATTCTTTTTCATAATAATATTAATATAAAATCTCTTTCTGATTAGTATGAATTATATCATATTCAACATTATTCATTTTATTGAATAACTGTGCTAGAAAAAGCAATAAATTTTGACTAGATCTTCAGCTGAAATCATATCGCAAGGAATGGTTTTATCATTCAATTAGGCATTATTTTTAATACTATTAGCTATCAATTATAAAATGTTTTCTGCATCTTTTTTTCTATAGCTATTTTAGTTAAGATTCTCAATTGAAATTTTAGTTATAAAATTTAATACTTCTGGTATCTTTTTAAAAGTATTATCAGATATTTGCTTTGCTTTATTGAGTTTTTTCTTCCTATTATATTACCTAATCTTATTACTAATCCTTTTCTTATATAACTTATTC